ACCCACGGTTATATAGGGCGAAATATACTTTTATTAGGGGAGACATTTTTACTATAATGTTAAATTCATCAGTGCTCTGCGCTGAATGAATGATGTATTATTGATGCTTCCAAATGACTACAAAGGAATGTTACATTATTTTTCAGTGAAGCATGGTGTTACTTATTGCAGCTGAAAATGAGCTTATAAAATATCATTTTTAACATAAAATCAATGCACAGCAGCCTCTGTAAATAAAATTGCCACACCCATGGCATCAGAAATCCCAGGGGTTTAAAAGTTTCTTTTTATTATTTGATAAGGTGGGGGGAAAAAAAGCAACACTGCCAAAGAAATCAGGCATATTTTAGTAATTATTTCCTGCTGAAAACTTATAAATTAAATTGGACTCGGCACATCCCAGCTTTAGTTGTCGCKCATTCCGCTGTCGTCGTCAGAGCTAGAGGAGCTAAATAGGCTGATGTTAATCCCTGGAGAAGGGAGCGTGTTTGCATGTGTTTTCAAATATACAGAAAGTTGTTTGTATTAATGAGGATGTAAATGTGTGYAGCAATGAACCTTACACAGGTTGAAGGTAACAGAAACAGCGACGTGATGCGTTTCAATCCATTCCCTCAGAATCAGCCATTAGCTGTTTTATTACAAGGAGACTTCCATTGTTCGCTGCCGTCAACTTTGGCAGTCCCTTGGAAATTAATTTGTCTGCTTCAGTTGTCCCCGCCGGTTATGTTCAAAAACACCGCTAGAACTACATAAAAGTGTATTATTCACATCTCGAAGATTTCTCCTTCTTCTGATTTTTTTTTTCCTTGTGTGCTTCCCGAGCAGAAAGAAGCAGCATTCCGGAGGTGTGATGTTCTGATTATAGGGGTTCATTTATTTTATTTTTTTCCCCCCATGACTACCCAATTAAACCGAAACAATATAAGAGGGGTGCCGTTCTAATGATGTTTTACCGCAGAGTGAATAAGCAACAAGTTCTGTTTGAAGCCTGGTGCTAGAAAGCATCGCATTACCGCTCTGATGTGTGGCAAGAGTCAGTTTCATTTTATTAATAGCCATATTGCGGTACAATACCGAGATGATTCATCCCTAAATTGTGAGCTGTGTGGAAAATCTTCTGCCCACCATCACATTGTTGGGATGCCTCTCACGTCCTACTGAAGCACCTTTATATTTCAGCATTTCTTTCTTTTTTYYTTTTTTTTTATCAAGAAATTGATTGATATGGAATTTGCGAAGACACAATTCGGCCCAACAGTGTGACTGCCGCATGCCTCGACACTTGTGAAAGTAGAACATGTTGTTCTGTGTGCAGATGAGACATTAACTTTGAGCTGACACAGTGTATCACAGCAATATTACAGAAAGCAACACCTTTATTTGCCGAGCGGGATGTCCAGTCAGCTATCTGCAAGAGGCAAAATCTTTGCACGCCCAAACAGACTTGCCTCTTTTGTGTTAGGGGGGAAAAAAAAGAGAATCTCAGCAAAGGGAGTCTGCTGCAAAGCAACCAAAGAAACAAGAGATTGAATGATCAAAAAAAAGGAAGCAAGGAGGTGAAAGAAAAGGTAAAGAATAAAGTGTTGGGATAAAAGGAGGGTGAAACCTAACTACTTTGAGGGTGAGAGCCAATCTAAAAAAATGATTGGCTGACTTTCCTGAGGCAAAGCTCTCTTTGCTCACATCAATAAAACATAAACATGAATAAATGCACAGTTTTTGGCCTTCCAGGGTTCTTACTTAATTTTATGTATGCAAGTGAGCGATGATGTGCATGGAGAATTGTATTTACCTTGAAGGCTCAAAATAATTCTTGGACCCATTTTGTGCTTGTTTGTTGCCATCTTTTACTAAAAAAAAAGAAAGAAAAAAAAAAGAAAGAAGGAAATCCGTAACAGAAACTCTATAAATTTGGTCTTAATTCGCCAGGATCAAAAAAGCATCAGCCTCCCATCTTGTGATCTCACTACTGAGCTCAGCTTTTTCATGCAGTYGTTACTCCCTATTGACTTTAGACACTGACGTGCAGCCTGTCAGTAATGTCGGAGACATGGGAACACGTGCTGATGTGCGCTCGATGGAGCCACTGAGGGAGATATCATCCAAACAGTCATCTGCCTCGCTGGTCTGTTTTGGTCCCCGAAGTGGATCGTCACTGACCCAGTTCAGTGGGTCAGCTTTTTGTTAATGAGCCAAATCCACAAAAGTGCCGTCGACTGTTAAAGAAGAGCGTTTAGTGGCAATTACAGCCCGGGTGTCAGGAGGATTTTTGTCATCGAGTTCTGTCGTGTGGGTGCAGTGGCCCAGAGGTGTGAAATACAAGAACAAACTGGAAAACCACAAAAAGATTTCAGAAAAAAAAGGGTATTGTTTTTTTGGTTGTTATTCGGCCCAAAAGCATCATCTCATATAGTTATCAGATTTGATTATGAAACTACATTGATATTACATAGAGTATAAAACAATCCATGACAATATTTAAAGAAAGCTTAAAAAATAAACAGATACTTTTGAGGTCGTTTTGTTTTTTAGACTTTCCGTCCATCCTTCTGTGTTTTTGGGTAAGGATTTACAATTTAAGTTTTGATCTTTTTTTTTTTCTTTTGGATAAACCTGAATTTATGATCAAATTACGCAAAATTCAAGGTGGCAAAATTCAAAATCCTTAAAAAAAGGTGAATATCTCAAATAGTATTGACTACAACAATCTACTGTATACCACAAATATAAGGATTATACGTAAAAAAAAACTACAAAGGAAACTATTTATTAAATAATAATATTTTTATTCAATCTTTATTTATTGGAGTCATTTTCAAGAAAGACCAGTTTTTAAAATGGAGACAAAAAAATATTGCTTTTGTATACAAA